ATATACTCACCAGCTTGAGGAGGAGTGTTAGTGTAGGGGTATTTCTGTCTTTATACTTATGTTGAGGTTGCTGATTTGTAATATTATATTAGAACTAGTGTCCCTCACTTAAATAAGGGCACATGTGTCTTTTCCATTATATTAGTAATATAAAACATGTCTGGCCGAATGAGAGATGCAATCCTTCCCTAATTCGAACCACTTTTCTTCTCTCCTTTTCTCCTCCTTTCTCTCTCTCTTTCTTTCTTCTTTCTTCTTCTCTCTTCTTGGCTGTTATCAGACTAACAGAACTCAAAGGCAGCCCGAATTATAATAAATGTCTTGACCCCAAAGTCTATGGTTCCTTGCTTTGCACATATACTTTTTGATGGGAGAAGAAAACAGGACCAAAATGCATTAGAAGATGATAGGTAATGGAATTCAAATGAAGTTTCAGATTAGTGAGTAGATAGGAATTTCTGCCCAAAGTAGGAATGTAGGATTATGGTGCTAATGAGTAACTAGGATTAGAAAAAAAAAAAAAAAAGCTATCTGAGGATTAGGGCCATTATAACCTGATTTCTATGACTGGATCACTTCTGATAACTCGGGAGTGGGACCAAAGTGCAAGAAACAAATTATTGATTTTCAGTTGTACTTTGATTAAGCAAAATGATAACATTTCAAACACAGAAAACTGCACACATTCAGTTAGTCATCTCAGGCATTTCATAATGTTGCTTCATCGTCATCATCCAAGCCTTATCCTAACTATATGGGATTATGGGGTCAGCCAATCTTGTAATGGTTCTCGTTAGTGTGAAAAGCATCAAGCCCCACTCACATGAATGGGCAACAATTGAACTTGAAATAAAAGCTGATTCCTTGAGCTACCTATAACCCCCTCAAAGCACTCGCTGACTTGCTAATTAGCTATTCCAGTAAGATGCTTTCACTCACTTTGATAACACACCAATATCTAACTTCTACTAAAATGCAAGATAATTGGGCCATGTGAATTATGACAAACCAGTCAGGGAACAATTCTCTAGTTTCAAATGCTATAGCATCGACCTTTTTTAAGAAAACTAGCTTATAGAAATGGACAAATCTTCAAAAGGCTTTTGCAATACCCAAGTTCTCCCTACCAAGGAGCGTCACCTGTCCTAAAACTATAGCATCCCAACCCATACCCGTGGAATGGAGACAGCCTTCGCAAGCTCTATCACAGGTTTCAAATTTTTAATAAAAAATACAATAATATCCCACCTCCGAAAAAAAAAAAAAAAATTGTCTCCCTTCTCCCCGATAAGCATATCCATCCAAATATTTCCCTCATAGAAGTCCATTTATCCTACTTTAATTCAAATGGAAATAAACAAACAGGTGTAATACAACCCAATTCAAAACCATACCGATTGAACTTTAAAAAAACTGAGAGCACAAAATATATATATACGAAAATTTGAAATCCTAACAAGAAATCAAACTAAAAACAGATGACAATCATTCAAAAGAAAGAACAGTAATAAAAACGACATTGGGCAAATGGACTGACCTTTAGCCGAGAGAGTGATCAAGAAATTGTAAATAGGAATCATGGGTTCTCTCTTCAGTGAAGATTCTTCCCTAATTCTTGGAACACTAAGGAACTTCTGGCAAGAAACTAAGGATAGCTAACTGAAGAAAGTTTCAAGTAAAAGGACAAGCGAAAACGGCTTTATTTTTGGCAGGGAGAGAGGGGAAACAGAGATAGTGCGGGAAATGGAGGGAAGCCATTGAAGCCTGGAGAAGTGCTTCGTCTGCCAGACTGCCACTCGGCTTAGAGTTAGCATTGGTTCAACAACTCCGGCATAAGGTTTGAATCGTTTGATACAGTTTTGTCAACCCGGGCTGCAAACGGATATTGTCCAAATTCGATTAGAATCCAACGGACCCAGGAAGCTATATAATGGATTTATGATTTCAATTCGAATAAACTAGTGGGCGGGCCCCTGCGTTGCAGGGGCTGATCATAAGGAATGTGAATTAAATTGTGCAAAAATAATAATAAAACAAAACAAGTGATAAAGTAAATTAGTTGTATTGCATATAGATGCAGTCCTGGTGCACAGTTATCCCAACCCTCCATGACTCCACCCCACCACCACCAAAAAAAAGAAGGAAACGGAAAATAAAGGATTTAAATTATTCTCTCTTTCTTCTTCATTGTAGGTTCTTCCATTCTCACAAAATTGATAACCATACTTGAACAAATTTGTCTTTAGAACCAGCCTTGATTAACCACAAATTTAAGTTGCATATATTGATGGATTAACCAGTTAACAATTGGGCACCTTGATTAACCTGAATGCCAAACGCCCAGAAGTAGCTTTATTTTTCTGAGCTCTTTATTAATTATTTGTAGCCATTTGAATGGTTTAGCTTTCGTTTGGAATCCAACCAAATACACCTTTCACAAATTTTAAGCATTTACTTAAATAAGCTATCTAAATTAAATGAAAAAAAAAAATGAAACTCAACAAACAAAAAGCCTAAGAGAAATATAAACTGAAACACAAGAGCATAGGATTCCATCAAACAAAAAGAAGAATAATCATGTGGTATTCGAAAAATGCAAATGTCGAAATCAGCATGTCCCACCATCTAAAGGAACAATTCTTTTTTATTAAACATCAACCTTTTAGTAAAAATGACAATGTATTTACAAGAATTCCCTACTCAGGGATGTCGAAACATAGATCCATCTTATAATTACAAGCAAAAAAAGGCAAAAATATGGTGAGCTATATCATTGTCTATCCTACTGACAAGTAGGATTTTATATACATCAAAAACAGAAATAATGTTATTCATCTTTACTTGGCAAGAAAAATAAAACAGAAATCATGTTCTTCACAATCTTAAGTATCTTCTCAGCCCAATGGCATTCCAATTGCGGCTGGTTCATCTATTTCA